TGTGTGGAGGTAGATTCAGGGTTGATGGGTGTCAGCACGGTTTATTTGACCACGTTTCCAAAACACAGTCGCAAAAATCATGGGGGTGGTGGTCTACCAGCTTAGCAGTCAAGAAAGCTTTATGTCGTACGTGTTCACATCAGCCCCATCAACATGTTCCAGTGGAAGGAAGCAGAGCGGCCAAATCTGCCGTTTATCCTAAACTGCTGTGCGATCCGACACACTTTGATCAGATTAAACAATCTGTTTCTGGTTTTGGTTTAGCTGGGATTTTTGCTGAAAGGTTGGTGAAGGAACCTGAAGGGGGTGAGAATGGGCAGGGGATGAGCCACGAAGGGAAATCCGGCAACCCCGGAGTGAACATGGATGAGATTGAACGGGAAGTTTTGGAAAAACTTGGTGGTCCCGAAGAGGTTAATCAGGCTGAAATTTTCTGTAAAAGTAAGGATCCTTCATTCAAATCTTGGTCATCCCAGCAAAGAAGCCATGTGCTGCATGCTTAAGCAGGCAAAAGCACCTGAAGCGGTGCAAAGGGCTGCGCAAGATTTCGCGTGCAATGTGTGTCGGCAAAGAGGTCGAACGGCATCAACGGTGCCTTCAGCTATTCCAGCAGTCACTAGTCCGTGGGAAGTGGTCAATGTTGACACGTTTTGGCGGTCATCTCCCCATAAAACGGGTCAAAACAAACCGGTTCAACATTGAACATTGTGTTGGTGCTTCTCTTCTGGATGAATGTACCAATTTCCATGTTGCGTATGTTGACCGTGTGGATTCGGAAAAGACCCCAGGAGCATCACGGCTGAGGAATAAAACTGCGATATGACGAGCAAGGTTTCTTCCGCAGCCTGAATCTCGAAGGTGGTTGGAATCACAAGGTATTCATCTTCAGCCCATTGCGAGAGAGTCACCGTGGCAACCTGGTCGTCAATCAAGACATCTGGAAACTTTGAAGGAAAATGTGAACCTTTTGGCAATGGAGCTGGGAGCGGATGTGGACTGCGTTGAATTGTTTGATTTGCACGCTTCTGCAAAGAATGAGCTCCATATCTGCAAAGGTTATTCCCCAAATCAATGGGCTTTTGGGAAAGCTAAACATCGTATTGAGTCCTTCCTTCAACATGGTGACCATCTGGCTGTTCAGTCGGGGAGAGGGGAACCTACTTTTGAAGAAACCCTGCAACGTAGGAATGAAGCTCGGGTTGTTTTCCAAACTCCGCATGCAAGAGCACTGAATGCTAGAGCCAGGAAGTCACAGACTTTCAACACGGGGATCTGGTTTATTTCTTTCGCAGGGGTAGGGGACATGGTAATCGGCATGAGAGCTTGTGGTATGGGCCAGCTAGAGTGGTTTGTGTTGAGAAAACCAGCACCGAAGAACGCAATGCTTCTGCTGGATCAATCACCTGGGTTGCGCGTGGAACCACCTTGCTAAGATGCGCGCCTGAACAATTGCGGCATGCGACTCATACCTTGAAGTATGTCAGTAGTCTTTACTGGGATCATCAAACACCTAGTGAAATCCTTCGGAAAGCTAAAAACAGTCAAAGGTATCACAATCTCGTGCCTGAAGTTGAGAATCTGGATGACTGTGATGCTCTCCAGGATGAAGATCCGGATGTCGATACATCTCTGCTCAATCCGAGGCGACTCCATACGGAGCCCTCCGTTCCAGGAAAAGGAACACCAGGAAAGCCAAGTCTAGTGAAGGCAAGGCAGTTGAGGACGAGGCCACAAGTGCAACAAAACGTCCGCGAAGATCACCCCTCAAGCAAGGGAAGCGCAAAGCGTCTGCACCCAGCGCGCCCAGCACTCCTGATCCCAGCCCCCGGCAAATCAGCTGCTTATGTTAAGGCATATAAGGCTGGTCTAGAGGAAGAAGATGCTCGACAGAAAGGCAAGGATGTTTCCAGGTGCCAGTTTAGCAATCATTTGAACAAACATTTTGTAGATCTGTGTTTGTACGCGTCTGTGTGTGTGGGGGGACCCTTCTGGTGTGTAAACCAAACATGCATTTATCTTATCCAAGGCTTACAAAGCTACTGAGTGAAACACCTTTGAGATCTGAGATGTGAGGAAGGCAACATCGTAAGATGTTCGGGGAATGGCCGGCCGATCATCGGTCGCTTGTCGGGGTTCAAGGATTGCAGCAGCAGGTGGGTCAACCTTACCTGTTAGGGCAAGGCTGCCACCTTTCAATTTGTGCCATTGCAGCGTTCGATGTGGATATCCACTCTGCAACCAAAATCCATGCAACATCTGCGGTGGAAGTGAAAGATGTGCGGCGGAGCATTAAGTTCTTAAATAGTGGGCTGTATTTTTTCCAAGCTCCATATAAATAGGTTTCACCCCGTGGCCCCTCGCAGGTCAAACGTGCAAGTTGAGAGCCCGGCTGGCCATGGAGGCCTGCCCATCCCCTCGCTGTAGTGTGGCCTGAGCTGAGATGCAGCGCGTTGCACCACTGTGCATTTGGAACTTGGTCGGAAATCCATGAAGTGTGTCTCTGTGTGTGCAGCTCTCCAGTCAAAAGCGCTTAACCGTTGGGGGTTCGATCTTTTCCTGCTATGGGAAACTGTGGTGAGTCGGTGGTCATGAACTTAATGCAAATGCCTGGAACGCCGAAGGCAAGGTATGTTGCCAAAAAACACATCCTAAGTCCTAAATGATCCGGGAATGATATGTTGATACTGGAATTATTTTGATGCAGCCTGAAATTCCAGACTGGGTTCCCTGGTGAGATCTTGGTGGCTGTTCTGCTGGCAATCGCCTGGTCTACCAGCCTTCCAGCGGCAGAACCTCGTTACCAGTTTATAGACCTGTTCTGTGGAGAAGCGCAAGCTACGAAGACTTGCCCCAGCCAAATTTGCTTCTTGGGGTAACATGGTACAGGACAACATGGCGAACCCAAATGAATCTAACTCTTGTCCGCGTATGGGAAAACATGCGTACTGCGAATGGCTTGCCATGTGGACCCATAAGCTTGGCCTAGTTCCTTTGAGCGTATGCCTTGTCAATCCTTGTCAATATATATTGTCACCCCTGGGGTCGGCTCAAGGATATCAGACAACTTCTTTCGACCGCAGCTTGCATCCTGGCAAGCAGCCCATGGATATTTTGACGCCTCCCGGAATTCTGCCACTCAATCTGCTTCAGGATTTGTGATCACAACTTGGCACTGATAATGTATCGATCTTGCATGATGTTGCTTTAGAACTATCGATCTGGGATTTCCTGGAACCTTTGCTTCACCCTCCAGCATCCTGTCAAAGGCGGGTTGCAGATGATAGTGCAAAAAGTCTTTTTGCGATCCTGCCAAATCCCTCGGATGTTCTACGTGGTCCGCACGGTCCCATCCGGCACAAAACCAAGAATTGAGGCACAAGCAACTGAATGCTACCCAGCCTCGTATTTGGACGTCCTGGAGAAAGCCCACCTCTTCTACTGCCTCGACAGAGATGGGAAGAAGGTCATGGGCTGCGGGCCCCGATGCCTTGACCCTTTCCTCCAGCTTTTCCCAGCTTTTCCCTGAATTTCCCAAACTTGGTGCGCAGCGACTGCACATTTCTAAGTAGCCAACCTCCCATCTCCTTCACCTTTAGTTTACTCAACAGCGGCTTCTCAAATTCAATTCGGTCTCTCCGGCGCTGGTCTCCATTTTTCCTTGCTTCTGCTGCTTCCTCATCATTTTCTCTCGTTCAGCCCGAATCATGGCCTCCTCAAGCTCCTCATGGCCCATGAAGAGGCAACTCTGGTTCCGCAGGTCGTCGCACCTCTCTCTTTTCCCCTAAGGATTCTCCTCTGCTCGATTGGCCAGTCGCTCAGCAGGGGATCCCTTCTTCCCCTTTCCTTTCGGGCTTTCCGCCTTTTCTCCTCCGATCTTGACCGGCTACTCCCTTTCCTTTATCCTTTCTTCCAAGGCTCACAGTCTGCCCAGCTCCACGCTTCACCTTCTCCTCTCGCTCGGCCTCCTTCGCCATCATGTCCTCTTCTCCTTGATCTACTAAGGCTGTGTCGTCCCCCTCGACCAGCTCCAGGTCCAGGTGTTTGGCCCATCGCCATTGCTTGTTGTCGCGCGCGCTCTTCTCGAGCGCCGTGACTCTCTGAGCCAGCACGAGCTTCGGTTCCTTCGCTCTCGGCTAGCAGGTCGAGAAGGGTGGTTTTCACCTTTAGTTCCCGTTGGGTTCTCTGCGTACATTTGCTCTGGAGTGCAGGCACCATCACAGCCAGAATACATGTGGGCCACTGCCCGAATCTTTCCTCCCTTGGAAAGCGACTTTGTCTCGGTCCCCCCTCCAAACCCGGTGCTCACCTCCATCTTCCGGAGCAACCGGGCCGCCAGCCTCCTTGGGCGTCGCTTGCCTTGCGAAAAGATGACCTTGACTCCAAGGAATCAAATCCACACTCACCCTCCTCGGATTCATCCTTCTTATCCCATTCCTCTGTGGGAGCGAGACCAAATGGCCCACGATCCTTCTCCTTCTGGCCGTGCCTTCGCTCAGCCTCATTCCTTTCTTTTCCTCTCTTCACCTTTCCTTTCTTTTTCTTGTCCTTCCGTTTCTCAACGCCCTTGTCGACCTTTTCCTTGATACGCCGCTCTTTTGGGCACGTTTCTTCCTGCTATCATCACTCTCATCTGAAGATGAGGCACCATTAGACTCCTCATCGCGGGCTCCTCGCTTTGTAATGCCCGTTTCAAACGGTTTCCTTTTCCTTTCTGGGCTAGGAGGCCTTCTCTTCCTCTTGTCATCCCCTTTTTGGGCTCTTCCTCTGGGCCTGTCGCCTCTCTCCTCATGTGACACCTGCACCTTCAAAGCCCTCAGTTCTCCAGGGTGCTGATGCGCTGTCTCTTTGTCTTGACCTCCTCCGGCGTTTTCTCATTTTGCCCTTCCTTTCCCCGATCTTTTCTCAAATTCAAATTCCCTTCGCTCCAGGAGATTTTCGTTCTCCTTCACCCTTTCGGGGCACTTTGAAAAACCGGTTCATCATTGTCCCGGCCTCCTTCGTCAAGTGGACCAGCTCGTCCTCTGACCATGTCCGCCACTTGCCAAGGTGTACCACGGTACCTCCTCCTCCTCCTCCTCCTCCTCCTCCTCCCGTGCACGCTGCTGTGTCATTCTTGCACAGGTGGTACTTCTTCAGATCCAGCCCGATATTAATAGTAGTCATGAATGTCTGTGATGAGGTCGCCCAAGAATGAACGACCTGTACTTCCGGTTCCAAAAAGCCTTTTGACCTCGATGATGATGAGGATGGTACCCTGGTCTTGGCCATTGTTGTCAAACACCTTGGCTTCGATTATCTGGCCCTTTGACGGACAGGCCAAAGACCCCTTACCAGCACACTTGGTCAATTGCAACCCTATTTTTTATGTGCTTTCATGGTTCCAGACGTGGAAACATTGAATAGGGTCACAAGCGACCAATGTACCTTACCTCCGACCCATGTCCCTCGCATCTAGCCAGGCAATGGCCGGAGTTCACCTCAATAGAAAACAACCTCAGGGGAAACCCCCGCTCTGGGCTTCCAGGCTCTCCAGGTTTCCCCGGGCAAGGCTGGTTGAGCCGAGATGCTGTGGCATCGTCATATCACATGCACTAGCCTATGGCACTGTTTTCATGCCATTCACTCTGTTCATTCTATTCAACGCAGCTCTATATATAGATATACATATATATATATATACATATACATATATACATATATACATATTTTTTATATACATATATACATACATACATACATACATACATACATACATACATATATATATACACATATGTATATATATATATATACATATGTATATATATATATTAACAATTCCAGTTGGGCATAAAACACCCCACCCTCCCTCCTTGGAGGAATCACGCTTCCTTTTGAAACGTCGGTGAGATGTCTGGCATCTTCTGTGCTGGCCAGACCTGTCAGTCGTTTGCCAAAACATTATGGCTGAAGCTGGTCAGCTATTGTGGCGCTCCAGCATCCTCACCCAAATTCGATCCCATCTGGTGTGGGTGGGTGGGAGAAAATCCCTTACATCAAAGGGAGGCCATCCTACCCAAATTTCTTGTAGCCAAAATGGCCCGGGATGACCTCCTCCCTTTGCCCCTTTCATTGTCAATCACAAACTCTGTTTGTTCCATGACAATTCCAGTTGGGCATAAAACACCCCACCCTCCCTCCTTGGAGGAATCACGCTTCCTTTTGAAACGTCGGTGAGATGTCTGGCATCCTCTGTGCTGGCCAGACCTGTCAGTCGTTTGCCAAAACATTATGGCTGAAGCTGGTCAGCTATTGTGGCGCTCCAGCATCCTCTCTGACTAACGTCGCGCCCTTCTGTTTGGCTCCACCTTTGAGGCACTTCGGCTTGTCCAACCTGGTGATTGACAAGAAGCAGAACATGGCCGAGATGCAGCGCGAGGGCTCACTCGGACAGCGATCTCCATGTTCGGGCCCGGGGAAAAAGGCTGCGGTGTACACCAAACATTGGGAGATTCAATCAACCGCATGCCCCACTTTGACTCCGTCCTAGTCCCGCCTAAGAAGGGAAAGGGGGGGATTGCAAATGATGGACCACAGCAAAAGGGGAAAACTTCCACTTTCCATCCGAAAGCGGTGATGCTGTCTTTTTCAAGCCAGCACCATGTCCATCACATGCAACTGTAAACCGCACTCAGCGGCGGGATTTTTTTCCACAACTGAGGCTCTACGCCCGGCCGGGGCAAATGAGACTCCAGCATCCAAGCTTCGTTGAGATGCCGGATCGACAAGTCTTGCAGCTTGCCCGGTGGCTGCCCCTGCAAGTCGGGTCTGGACAGGAAGTCGGCTTCCACATTCAACTTTCCTGGGAGGTGATGCGCCGTAAGGTCCTGCATCTGGGCCCCTTCCAGGACGATGCTGAGTTCAGCTCCAACGAAGTTGAGTGTAGCCGTGGAACTACTCAGCTTTTTGCTCAGGGCCAAAGCCACCGTGGAGTCCGCCTTCAGCAGGAGCTTTGAACCCCTCAACGTCGCCTTCCAGTAACGCACTGCCAGGAGGACAGCGAAGGCTTCCAGCACGGCTTGCCCTGAGGCTTGCCGGAATTCTATGCCCAGCGCCGCCGCGATGTTCTTGGTTATCTTGCCGGCCAGAGCGACCGTGGGGGTGAGGTTGTCCTGCTCCTTGTCCACCACTGAAAGTATCGCTCCGACGCCAAACGGGGAGGCATCCGTGGTGATTGCGTACTTCGGCAACACCACTTGCATCGGTATTTTTCTGCAGCGCCAAGCCTCTTTCTGCTGCAGGAAGGCCACAAGCCAGCGTCGGGCTAGTTCCAGACGTTTCACCGGGATCAAACCCGTTTTGGGCCTGGTGTCGCCCGTCCTCTTCGCTGCCCTCACTTGTTCAATTCCTTCTTTTGCTTCTCTTTCCGCATCCGCCAAGGTGCCATAGCAGATGGAAACAGCCCATCTCGATCTCGGGAGCACCCCCGCGATCCAGGAGAGCTTGCCCGTGACTGCCCTCAGCTCTCGGATCGACACCATGCCTTGCCAGCTCTTCATGCGTTCTAGGACCTCGTCCACCAATTTTGCCGGCACGTCCAGCACAATAGTTTGCTCCTCCACGTCGATCGCAATCTGGACTCCAATCCATGTCAAAGATGCACCCCTCTCTCCTTTCTCATAAGAGAGGTTGACTCCAAAGGCTTTCGCGGAGTACAAAAGCCGAGCGATCATCGACTCCCTTTCCATCTTTGAGCCACACACCACCATCAGGGGGTCGTCCATGTAAGTTTGGATACGTGCCTGGCTCTGCACCATAGCTTGCCACTGTCTGGTCAACGTTGCCGCCAGACGCCCCATGATCAAGGGGGCCCCTTTGAATCCAAAGCTCATCGCCTTGAAGACCACCACCTTGTCCTCCTGCAATGACGGCGCCAGGCAATGGCAGAGCTCCTCTGGGGCCACTCCAAAGTGGCAGTATGCATCACTCAGATCAGCGCCCACCAACTCCATGCCCCAATCAACTCCTTGAGGTTGTCCTCCATGTTGCTGCCACAGCTCTTGGATGTCCTTGACCACGTCTCGAACTCGTGGCAGTACGATCCTTTCAGGTATGTTGGCAAGGCTGTTGCCCCCCGACCTCAAGAGGTCGATTATGAGGCGGTGCTTGACCGTCCCATTGGGCTTGATCTTTGTGATCAGTGCCAACTTCGACACTGTCCCAGTCCTGAACCTCTCCTTGATCTCTGTCATGGGAACGATCTCCGCAAAGCCCTTGCCAACCAGCCTGTCTAGTTCTCCTTGAGCCCCCTCTCGGTCATCATAGACTGACTTGTAGTTCTTTGCATCCAGCTGTGCTTCCAAGGTCGACAGTTGTCCCTCCCCGGAGTCATCCTCCACCGGGGGGAAAACCCCGTTTGACCTGGGAATTTGTGCCCCCATGCCCAACGGCGCTCCGAACCGAGCCCAGTCGGCTATGTGTTTCTCCGGGTCCTTGCTGAACTTCTGCCAGGCCTCCCACAGCTCAGGTTTAAGGGGCGACCTGAATTGGTACTTGCCCTTCAAGTCGACGTCCGTAGGGGTTGTCGCCTTCATCATGCTGTTCAGCCTTGTGACCCACTCGTCCAGTACCCGGGAGTCTAACTCGCACCTCTCCGACCCATAGGTTCTCGCTGCTTCCAAAGCCTGCGGCATGTCCTTGACCAGGGCATTCCACGCCCTCGCGACATCGTTGCCCGCCTCTTGCAAGATGGTCATCTTCTTCAAGGACTTGTACGGGTTGCGCATGCCCCCGATGAAGAAGGAGTTTTCATCCTCCCGTCTCGCCTTCTTCGACTGCGAGGGCCCTTGTGGGAGTTGATCACGTTGTAAATCCCCCGCATTCCAGGCCCTCTTTGCACCTCGCAGTTGGCTCATGTCTTTGTGGTTCACCGGTCTCTTGATGGTCATGCGCTCCTTAGACTGGGCCCAGCTCTGCTTCACTTGGTTGAGCTCACTTGCCGATTGCGCTTGCTTGTGCCTCCACCATTCCAGCTCCAGCACAGTCCTAAAGACTTTTATGACCAACTTTGCATACTCCAAGACCAGGTCCTTCGGGTACTTCGCCGCCTTGCTCGTCTTCTCCTTGCCGATGAGCGGCTCATGCTTGAAGTACTTGGGGCACTGGCATTTTCTCTTCAAGGAGCTCAAACCTCCCAGCCGCCCCGCAAACTTCGCCGGCTTGAACCACCTCACGCGCTCTTTGAGCTGATAGGCGCAGGTGTTGAAAACGGCCTCCTCACATCCGAAATCTTTCATGAACTTGCCCACCTCCGGCAGTTCCCATGACGGGCCCTCCATGCGGTCGTCGCTCCCCGGAGGGTTCTCAAGGGTGCCACATTCTGGCACCTTGCGGTGCCTCTGACACTGCAACACCTCAGCCGTCACCTGAGTGCTACGTATGGCCAAAAGCGACCCTCGATGCCTCCCCTTGTTGTCGTGGGTTGTTCGTGGGGAGACCATAAATGAATTCCAAAGACCTCACTGGAGGGGGTCCAGAACCCTGCCTATATCTGACCCTCGAAAAGGACCCACATGGAAATCCAGCATGAGATCCATCAAACTGTCCTGTCCTTGCCATGTCCAGGAGATCCCCAAAAGGTTGTTCTGCTGTGAGGTCCATGCCATCTCGGTCCCGGTCAAGCGACATGACCTTCAGCTTGATGTCCGCCTGATCCGCCAACCTTATGATAGCGTCCCCCAGCACGTCCTCCTCTCCACAGAACATGTGCAAGAAGGTGAAAGTCCTCTTGCTCCTAAACTCTGAGAAACTTTTGGAAGCTTTCAGTGCCTCCGTGACCCTTGTCGGAGTCCACAACTCGTCAATCGTCTTCGCGGCCTGGTCCCCCTCAGCTTTGACCGAAGTTGCCCTCCACGTGGCGGCCACTTCCCGAGGTTCATCCTCCGAGGCCTATTCCTCCTTGAACTCCCCCGTGGCTACCCCTACATCATCATCACCGTAGTCGGGCGTCTGTTCCGAGTCGCTGCTGAGCATCTTGAGCCAGGACCTGAATCCCTGTGAAATTGCTTGCTCTGGGACCAGTCACCCAAGCTTCAAAATTGCTCACAGAGCTGCTTGTCAAGTTCAACAAAAGAAAGTAAATTCACAAAACTCGACAACGCAAACATTAGAGGAGTGGGTCCCACTGCCGTCCCTCTGCCCCCTGTTTTTCAAACCCCAAGCCTGTGATGCGGCTGACGGCGAAAAGGTTTAACCTTTCCGATCATCCATCAAGCCTGCTTTGGGCACTCCGAGTTCCTATGCCCCGGAGAGAGGCAGAACTGGCACTTATGTGCCCTCTTGATCTTCTGCTGACAGGCGCAAGCTCCCGTGCCACTTGCGAAGGAGAAGCACAATGGTGTGCCTGCTTGATCCTTGGTCTTCCCCTTGCCTTTTCCCTTCTGATCCTGCTGCTTGCCGTCCGCACTTGGTGTCCAGGGCCTTTTTCTCAACCTGTCCAACTCTTCCCTTTCAGCCCTCAAGCGCTTTGCCCTAGCCAACCTCTTATCACGGTTAGCTTGGCGCTTTCGGCCACCTTCGTTGCCTTCGTCTCTGTCCGCCTCCACCACCTCGGCGCCTCCCGGCATGTGTGCCAAGGCGATCTGTTCTGCTGGGGCAAGTGGTGTCCCCTTTGCGCCTGCAGCTGTCCATGCGGCTGCAGGGTGGCGAACCTGTTCTGACCAGTATTCTTCATCCGTGGCCAGAACCCTGAAACACGTTGTCCAAGGATTATCCGGGTCCCAGTCTTGTGGCATGACCTGGCCCTTCGCGGCGTCCACCATCAACCTGCGTCGGATTTTGTCCAACCTCTCTGCCCGCGCTTTGTCCTCCGCTTGGTAGATCAAGCCCCAACACTTGGGCCACTGCAACACCAGGCGCTCAATGGCCTTCTCGTAGATCTGGAGGGAAGCCAGGCTCGAGATGCTCAACATCAAACAAGCAACTTTGTCCACCCTCCACGAAGTGAGCCATTGTTGCAAGTTCTGTGGTCCCGGCAGCTCTCTCATCATGTAACTCCCATCGCCTAAAGGGTGATACACCCTGAACTTCTGAGCCTTCTGGCACTTTCGTCCAAAGGGGGTGAAAATTGCTAAGTCAGCGTAGGGAGCAGCTTTCAGTATGAAGGTCTTCCTGTGGAGGGCGGCCAATTGTCCATCTGACGGTTCTTCTTCTTCCGGAGGTGGGCTGCCCATTATAGTCACGTAGGCTGACATCCACTGGTCCACCTGGTCTCTTGTCGCCGGTGCAAGTTCTGAATCATCGGACTGGTCGACCAATGCCGACATCTTCAACACCCGGTCCTTTAAGGCACCAGCTCCGGGACTTCCTTCAGCTTGTCCACCGTCGGCCCCCGTAGCACCCGGTGCATTACCTGAGTTTGCAGCTTCCCAAGGGTCCACGTCCTTGAACTCCGCTATGGGCAGTCCTGACCACATATGCACCAGTTTCCTTGAAGTCCGCCACACCAGTCCCACATGAGCCGCTTGAACTGCAGAGAAACCTGCTCCGGCCGCTGTGCTAGCTTGCACAGCTCCCTGAACAATCACCGTCTTCGGGAGGGCGGCGATGAGACGCACGTGGTGCCCTGGGTCCCCCACTTGTTGAAGAAAGGAACCCCATAGTCCATCAGGTACCTCAAGAAAATCAAGTAACTCGCGGAGAGTAGTGATAGCTTGAAGATCGGTCTCTGCAGGTAGAGCGCTCGCGGCCATGCTCCACCCCAGAAACCAACAGGAGAAAATCCCTTACATCAAAGGGAGGCCATCCTACCCAAATTTCTTGTAGCCAAAATGGCCCGGGATGACCTCCTCCCTTTGCCCCTTTCATTGTCAATCACAAACTATGTTTGTTCCATATATATGTATATTGCAAATAAATCTGTGTAATATACACATATATTGATATTGTAAATAAATCTATAATATATATTTAATTTATATATGTGTATGTATATACTCTAGTACCGTATGTCCAAGTAGTACGTACATAAATCCATCCGCAAGTATGGTAAAAATCTCGTACAAGGTTCATGCACTGTTGGAGAGAAAGAGCAAGAGAATGACAAAGAGAGAGAGAGAGAAAGAAAGAAAGAAAGAAAGAAAGACAGAAAGAAAGAAAGAAAGAAAAAAAGACAGAAAGAAAGAAAGAAAGAAAGAAAGCAGGTAGCACGCAAAATCGCATGTAGATCGCTCATCTACACGCGTTTTTGCGTTTCCCTGGCACGGCGGCCCCGTGGAAAGCAAGCAAGGCCGGAAGCCAGCGTAGCCGGAACAGCTATCCCCGTTTCTGGCAACAGCAAGGCCAAGCCCAACACAGACCTGTTCCTATTTTGAAGACATAGGACCGTTTTGTTTTCTTCATCCCTAAGCTTGTTTGGCGCGGTTTCCCACCGCACCCTCCCAAGATAGAAAAGAATTGGAAACCAGAAAGCCATGCCGAGGAAGCACATTGTAGTGTGCATGTGATTCTCTTCACTGCTCTTTCAGCAACTCCAAGCACTTTCAACTCTCTTTCCAACATCCTTTTCATCTCTCCCCTCTCACCCGGTCGCGCCTTAAAGAGCTCGTTGTCAACAATGCGCGTTGCGAGCAAGCGGGATCGGGTACAGGTAGGGTTAGAGATACTTCATGTACATATCCGGACATATCCCCGGCCCTTCATGTCGAAATTCTGCCTCGTTAATTCGACGTCGTGACATGTCGTGACGTCGACTTAAATCGTACAGATCAATCTGAGCGGCGCCGGCGGTGGAACGAACGGCAGGTTTAACTTGGAGAGCTGTCTGTGCTTCCGATGTATTCGGGGTCGCCGCGATGACTTCAACTTGGAGAGCTCGGTATCGCTGTTGGCAAGTGCTACATCCTGACCAAATATAAAAATGTTACATTCAATGTGAGGCCAGATATGGCAATAGCATCTAAACACTTGCTGAAGCGGTTTCCACAGACAGAAATGTGTGTTTGCAAACTGTCGAACGAATCCTTAGAGCTGCCCCCAAACTCTCAATTTGCAACTGCGCAACCAGCGCTCAACCAGCCATGTTGCTGGTCTCATGTGTGGCAGCATTCGCTTTCAACATTTGCAGAGACCACATGCGCACAACACAAATGCAGACTGCCATCACTGCCATCAGTGGAATCTTCTCCGACCCATCAACCACGACTGCCTTCCCTGCATCCAACTGCAAAGCAGGCGCAGGAGAAGCATTGAAAGCACTGTCTTTGACTGTGCATTTGGACCACACGGGAGGTTGATCCTTGGCATGGACTAGTTGGAGAGGAACTCTTACAGACTGTCATCTTCATCCCTCAAACTGCACGGAATTTGTTAGGAGTACAGTGAAGTCACTTGCAATCTTGCACAAGCAGCTGCTGACTGAGCAGGAGCTGTGTCTAGATGAACTCAGTCGAAGACTACACGGAGCCTAATTACTTGGTGCAAAGTGTACTGAAAGCCAAGGTTCATTGAGAAGCTTCTACACATTTTCTTATGTTTTCAGTAGCCACTGACATTTGCCAACAACACTGCGGTTGCAATGCACATCTTGGCTTCGGTCTAGTGTTCCTGAAACTGTTGCTTTCAGGCTTCAAACTTTGAGAACCGAACAGACGAAAGCGAGGTCCTTTTGCGAACCCACAACATGTGGTCAGTTGCCAACCCTCAGCGGCCGAAGCGCCTTCCATGTCTATCCATGTCGTTCTCCAGTGGTCCAGTGGTTCGAGTTGAATGAGTTGAACAAACATTCGTCGCCTTCGTCGCCTTCCTCGCCTGTCTGCCTGTCTATACGATGCCGGTGCCATTTCGAACCGGGACCGATCTCTGTGATCTCTGAGTTCTGCAAGCAGATTGCATGCCATGACTCCTGTGACGTCTGAAAACATTGCACAGGATCATTTCAGACCATCAGTGAGGGCCTCCCAATGCCCATGTAGGGTAGGGTAGGCTAGTAGCAAGATGTAGCAAATGGATTGAAACAATATGAAACAATTTAATCCATGTCTGTGTATCCACACAGCTTGGTTCAAGAGTTTGTCGCGGGTCATCTTCTGCCATCACCTGAGTCCGAGCGCATCATAAAGATCCAACTGTGACTGTCACAAGTGGGGACAGTGGGGGCATTTCATACGGGGCCGGCTGATTCATATTTGCCGCGAAATCGCAGGCCATGTTATCCCTTCCAGCACCTTCAAAATTGCGGTCTCACACAAAATAATTAGTAGTCTCTGCATCGACACGTACATTCATTGTGCTGCGAGCAGCCAGTGTGAACTCGCTTCTCAGAGGAAGTGGCTCAGGAACATCTAGCAGCTTCAACCGTGTACCACTATTCGATCTGCATGCCGAAGATGTTTGTCAATTTTCCACAATTTCCCCACATGGTTGCTTTCTGCAACAGCTGCCCACTCCAAATGTCAAATTTGGGATTTGACATGCTGGACAAAAAATGCATGTCCACCATGCCCGTGTTCCCAACCATGTTTTTTGCAAGATCGGCCCATGTTTTTTGCAAGATCGGCCCAAATGTGGGAAGTTTACGGGTCACAAGCCTGTCTGTACTAGGATGAAAGGGATTGCAGGCCACGTGGTACTTTTCAGAGCGCGCCAAATCGCTGTCATCAAACCGACACTCAAACCGACACTGCTATCTAAATTCTGCAAACCATTAACCGCGAGCTTGACCCCCTGACCCCCCCGCTTTCCACGGACATGGTTTCGAACAATCCAAAACCAAGTGGTGGGCTAGGAAAGCTGCAGGACCCGTGGCAGCAGACACTATCTACACCATCTAAACTCTGCCTGCTCTAGCTGTTCAAATTGGGACGTTTTGAGAAGTGACAGGCCGGTCCGTGCATGTCTGAATTGGTTCGCAGGCCATCTTAAACCTTCCGGCACATGCAAAATTGCAGTCTCGCAAGCAAAGCCGTGAAGCCTGCATGTACCCTCACTCGCCTGCATGCAACAAGCGTGAACTCGTTTCTCAAAGAAAGTAGCTTAGGAGCACGGAGCGACTTTAACTCTGATGCCTGCAATTCGTTTGACATGCTGCGAACGCTCATTAAAGCTCCAAACTGTTTCCTTTCTGAAGGATTGCGCCAGCTGTCAATTTTGGGACCTATTCTGGAATCACAGGCAAGTCTTTACTGGTCTGGTTCAGATTGCAGGCCATGTTGCTTTGCTCAACACATGCAGAACTGCCAAATCATCAAAACTACAATTGACGATGCTATCTAAATCGATCTAAATGTAGTTGCAGTTGAGCTTACCTCCCAGACTGATTTTTGAGACACTGGTTCCACACCATCCAAAGCCAATTGCTGAGCTAGGATGACTGAAAAGCCCATGGCTCCAGACTCCTTCTGCATCCTTCTCAAGAGTTCCAAACGGATTCTTCATGCAAAAATCTACTGGCCCTGGCTGTGCAAATTAAGAACTGTTCAGACATTAGAAGCAGGCTGGTCCGTACTCGTCTGCCTTGGCAAGCAGGCCATTTTGTTCCTTCCAGCACCTACTACATTGATGTCTCGCAAACACAAGTATTCGTTGGGCCTGCATGCACATTCATTGAGAAAGTGGCTCACGTGCATCCAGCAGCTTTAACCCTGACGCCTGCAATTCGTTTTACATGCTGCGAACGCTCATTAAAGCTTCAAACTGTTTCCTTTCTGAAGGATTGCGCCAGCTGTCAATTTTGGGACCTATTCTGGAATCACAGGCAAGTCTTTACTGGTCTGGTTCAGATTGCAGGCCGTGTTGCTTTGCTCAACACATGCAGAACTGCCAAATCATCAAAACTACAATTGACGATGCTATCTAAATCGATCTAAATGTAGTTGCAGTTGAGCTTACCTCCCAGACTGATTTTTGAGACACTGGTTCCACACCATCCAAAGCCAATTGCTGAGCTAGGATGACTGAAAAGCCCATGGCTCCAGACTCCTTCTGCATCCTTCTCAAGAGTTCCAAACGGATTCTTCATGCAAAAATCTACTGGCCCTGGCTGTGCAAATTAAGAACTGTTCAGACATTAGAAGCAGGCTGGTCCGTACTTGTCTGCCTTGGCAAGCAGGCCATTTTGTTCCTTCCAGCACCTACTACATTGATGTCTCGCAAACACAAGTATTCGTTGGGCCTGCATGCACATTCATTGAGAAAGTGGCTCACGTGCATCCAGCAGCTTTAACCCTGACGCCTGCAATTCGTTTTACATGCTGCGAACGCTCATTAAAGCTCCAAACTGTTTCCTTTCTGAAGGATTGCGCCAGCTGTCAATTTTGGGACCTATTCTGGAATCACAGGCAAGTCTTTACTGGTCTGGTTCAGATTGCAGGCCATGTTGCTTTGCTCAACAAATGCAGAACTGCCAAATCATCAAAACTACAATTGACAATGCTATCTAAACCGATCTAAATGTAGTTGCAGGTGAGCTTGACCCCCTGGGTTTCCAGAGAGAATGGCTCGGACCATCCAAAGCCAAGTGGTGAACTAGGATGACTGAAAAGCGCGCGGCTCGACACTCTTATTACTGACATCCTTGTCAAGAATCCCAAAGGAACTTCTCACGAGAAATCTACAAGCTCTAAGTCTAAGTGTCCTAATTAGAAACTTTTCAGAAGCGACAGGCAAGCCGGTCCGCACTTGTCTGGGCTGGGCAAGCCTTGTTGTTCCTTGCAGCACCTGAATAATTGCTGTCTGACAAACAAAAGTAGCTGCT